TATTAGTTTATTTGTATTTTTGATTTAGTTTTATATTTAAATTATTGTTTATCAAAGAAAAGACAAATATACCATCAACATTTTTGTATGTTCTCATATTTTATAATATGAAATTTTAATTAAATTAATATGAAAACTTTTAATTCTGAGAATTAGTACAATGTAATGTATTTTCTATTATTTTTAGTTTATCGATTGTAATCTTATATTAATTAAAATAAAATAAATCAGTTTTAAAGATAATTAGTGTTTATCAAACTATTAAAAATAAAGAGAATTTTAAATTTAATAATATAATAAGAAAAGTTTTGTTTTTGGTGTGAGATTTGGTGTTTATGGTTGGAGATAGAAAAAAAAATAGAACACTAAAACATCAAATTTGGTGTTAAAATTTGGTGTTTTCGTGCCTCGTCTCTTTCAGCCAAACCCTTTTTTCCATTTTTTTCCAACTTTCACAGTAACCTTCTACTACTTTGAGAAGGTTCTTTTTTTTTTTTTTCCAATTACTTTTGGTGTTATGCTCATTAAAACAGACGCAATAAGAACCAAAACGAAATAAAGTTGATTCCGACATGTCTAGTAAGTAAGCAAATATTGACCAGGGAATCTGCATCATCGGGTTTGGACTTTTCCAAAAGAATAAATATTCATGAAATAATTGATAATAACACGCAAGAAAAAATATATAATCGACTAATCGAGCATAATAAGACCCACTAGTATATTCTTTTTAATACTTTTGATGAGTTTTAGTTCACACGAAAACTTATTATCAATTGTTGATGGATCTTTAGCGAAAGCTTGAAAAGCATTTACTTTATATTTTTCATGTGTGATCTATATAAGCTGGTGGTTAAGAATATTCCGTGTCAGGTTGACCTGTTCAATTCACTCAGGTCACTCGGGTGAAAATAATTTCTCTGAGCTTTTTTCCCGGTTTGACGACGTTGTAGATATTAGAGCATAAACTTTTAATTCAAAACCAACTAGTAATGATCTCTTATGTACCAACTTTGTAGATAATGTTTCGAATATTTGAATGATAGTATAATGTTTAAGTACATATGAATAACTGTTGGGGGTGATTTCGTACCTCTTCATCATTAAGCAACACGTGACAACATTACCACGGTCATAATAAAATAGTTAAGATAGAGTTATGAAAGATGATTTCTTAATCAGCGCTTGCAAGTAAGCTAAGTCATCCTAGAAAAAATGTTCAGGAGACCACCTAGTCTCTCCAGCGTTGACTAGGCATGCGACTATGACCCGAACGTTTAATTCGGTTTTAGTTTCTCGGTTTATCGGTTTATTCAGAATTTAAAACCTATTCCGAATTGAACCGACTAATCATTTGGTTCGGTTCGGTTGGGATACGGTTTATTTGGTTTTTGTAATTCGGTTTAATCGGTTTAATAACATATTCTGCTTTTTTTGTAAAAAACATTACTTAGTTTATATGGATACACTTTTTTTCCCTCAAATTTTAGTTTCGATTGATGATCATAATTAGCAAACTATTATTATTATTAGATGAATACACACGCTACGTGTGGGTTTTTGTTTTAAAAACTGCAGAAAAATATGATTATGGTTTTTGTTGTGTTTTATGTTATTTTGTGTGTGTTATTATGTAATTAATAAAGTTATATTTATTTTTATAGTTATAATTTTTATGATTAGATTCATCTTTAACTCGAAATATTAGTTTCACGTTTTTTATGTATAAATCTGATTATTTATATACCTACGATCCTAATCTTTCATTATCATGAATACATACAACAATAATATATGACATATTGATACAATGATATGTAATTATGTTACCTATGTGTAGGGGTGTCAAAATGGATAAAAATTAATGGATCAATCCAATCCAATCCAATCCAATCCATGGATATAATGGATAGAAAATTTGGATCTTAATGGATTAATGGATTTAATGGATTAGTGAGTTTAATGAATTGGATTGAAATGGTTTAGATTATAATGGATTAGTGGGTTACTCATAACCAAACCAATAAAAATTAAATAATTTAAATTAGATATGTAAACCAAATAAACCGATAAAATGTCTAAACCGATTTAGTAAACCAAAAACCAAACCTAAATTTCTCTCTCTCACCATCGATCCTTCCCTCTCTCTCTCACCATCGATCCTTCCCTCTCTCTCACCATCGTCGATCTCTCACTACCATCGAACTCTCCGATCAAGTCTCTTAAGGGTCTCCTTCTTCTCCGATCAAGTCTCCGGCTCCACCGTTGTTGGGTATCGAAGCTCTTCTCCGATCAAGTCTCTGGCTTCTCCGATCAAGTCGCTCTCTGATCAATTCTCCGGTTCTGGTTACTTAAGGAGAAGTGCGACAAGTGATTGGATCTTGAGAGATTGTTTGATTTGGAAGTGAAATTACTGATGTTAATGGTTTCAAACTTGTCTAACTTAATTCTAAACAAACAATTTTTTGTTCCATTTACTTTCTCGTCATCTAGTACGCCAACCACATCATGATATGCTTGTACTTTAAGTCAACACTTTAGAACTCTCTCCTTGCATACAACCATATAGGAGAGAGTCTCGTGTTTTTAATTTCTTGGTATGTCTAACGTCTCAAATGATCATTAAGTGGAAACAATTGTGTGTCAACGACGTTACCAACTTATCATAACGCACAAAAATAAAAAGAGAGAATGCCATATTCACAAAACGTAACATGAAGTTAGGTAGCAAATATATAAACTACAACACAAGTAGTTTTTTAGCCATTATCGTGTAATGACCGTCGATAAAAAAATTTTAATATAAGAAGAGTAGAATGAAAGTAGTGATTGATACATTAGTATGATTTTTTATTTTATTTTTTAGTTTTTTAAAAAATCAATTAAAAGTGAGATTAATAGAGAATTTAACACAACAAAAGACTTTTGATTTTCTCTCAATTAATTTTGCTAATTTTTTTATTTAAATAATGTAAAATGACACATGTCATTTTCTTATGTGATGATGTGCCACTCATATGGAGAGAGTTGACCAACTTTTATATATATGATTATTTAAAAATTACATAGTATTATTTTTAAAATCATGGTAGCAAGAATTTAAATAGTATTATTTAGTCTCATAA